GTATACGTGTATATACGTGCATACATGTAATATATTATATACCCGCGCATACATCTATATGCGTACACGTTTATACATATATATATACGCGTAAAGAAAGAAACGTGAACGTTGTTGCAAGTGCCGTAATTCCCAGCGGAGTAAGCGAGGATCCATCGATTCCGCCGCGGGTGTTACCTTCGATATTTTGATACGGGTACGTCGAGTCGCGGCGAGGCCGATCGGTCGGGTCCGTTCGGCTACCCGGCACGAGATCTCCGGACCCCAGTGTTACGCGGTGCTTCAGCGGCTTTGGGTCGGACGCTTGCCCGTTTCCGAGATTCGATCACGGAACCCGGGGGCCCAGTTTCTCTCGGTGGTTCGCTGTAGTGCTACTACACTACCGCTAGCTGCTACTGCTGTTGCTGCTGCTGCTGCTGCTGCTGCTGCTGCTGCTGCTCGCCCCGGCTCGGCCCGCGCCGGTCGTATCGATTCGAGGACGTGACACGGCCCGCGCGTACATAGATACACGCGCCCGTGCCCAGTGAGATACCAGTGTGCCGACACACGATCCGGAGAGGTGCGTAGAAAAAGAAAGGGTGTCCGCGGAGTTAGACGACAAGGGGGAGAGCCGTCTATGTGCGCGACCGGCGACACCAAGTGCTACCCTGGCACCTTGCGGACGACACGGGGTGGCTACGCCAGTGAGTTTCAGACTTTACGCCCTTTCGGCTTGTTAAACGGTGTCTCCCGTTGTCCCGTCGGTTTCGTCCTGTCGATTTGCGGCTCATTTTCGGTTCCCCTGTCGGCGTGTTGAGCTGTGACCGTTCGCCGACCCCTTGCCTCTCGCTGCGCCGGTGATAGGGTATCAAGTTCAGTGATGATCGTGGCATCGGGCATTGATGCCCCGATTTCAGTTCCATTCGTATCGGCTCGACTAGGCTCGGCTCGCTGCTCGTAAGTATCGTTCAGTGTTCGTGGGAGTGAGACGTGCGGCTCATGGGACTGGTAAAAGTGACTCTGTGACACGCAGACGCGAGGAAACGCCGAGGCAAGGGGTTAACCTGTTAACTGGGGGATGATGAGTTAACTTGCCTTCTTCGCTCTCCTGTATTCGCTGTTGCCTCGCGATCACCGCTCTTTCGTTATTCCCTTTTTCCCCCTTTGTTCCCTTTCATTTTTATGGCTGCCCCTTTCGACACCTTGCTTTTCGGGGACTGCGGTTAAGCGTGTCGAGTGCGTCCGATTGCGACCGATCGCCGAACGTTGCGTACCCTGGCCATTTTCATTTTTCTGCTCCTTTCTTCGTTTTGGGGAGTCTTCTATTTTAGAGGATTATTTTTTGACGTTTTTAGTCGTTTTCGTGGTGTTCAGTCTCTTTTCAGTGTTTCCAGGAGGGTGATCACTGAGTAACGATGGTAGGGTTGCAGCGAACTGGGCGGCGAATTGTTAGAACTGTTAATTATCTTTTTTTACATTTCCTGAATTATAGTCACCTTTTTGGAGACTCTCGAGAAATTCTGATCGGAAGCGAGTTGAAGTTATACTAGGCGATATTAATCCGCTTTTATAATTAATCACCACGAGAAGTCGTTTGCCTGGTAACCAGACCGTCTGGAGTCCATAATTATTCGTATTGTCCATTGCGAACGTGGTATCGACATTAGTTTTAAACAAGGCTAGGGGTTAACCTATTAACAGGGGTTGATGAGTCAACCAGCCATTTTCGCTTAACTACGTCCATTTATAATTAAGGGTGGCTCGTCTTCGATTACCTTTATAATTTATCAACTTATATTTTCGAACTTCTCAACGTTTATATTTAGCACCGACAGCATCCTGTTTTCTGCGACATTTTCAAACGACAAATGTCGTCGATTGTTTACGGCATAGGATTCACTTTTGCAATTAATTAACATTTCATTTCTCAGGGATTCGAACAATGAGAGTGAGAATAATTCTTGCCGCTCGCCAGTGCTCGTCTTACGTGCCAAACGGCCTGAATTATTTTCATCGTGTATATCTTGAAAGACTCGCCGGAAGTTTGAAAATAGTTTGCTTGTATCGGCAGCGCTCAAGTTGGGAACGCTTTCTTTGACAGTTTGAACGCCGGTAACTTTAATACACTTCCTGAACTACCGACTACAGTATCGATTAATCTTCGTGCGCCTCAATTAACCGATGAAACCTGAATATTATATTCCGAATTAACACTCCGGCATTATTTCATAATTATCGCTACCTAAATTCATCTTACAACCATCAGAATCGGTCGAAAAAATCGATTCCGATTTCACATCGGTTAGAGCTCCTTTTCTTCGTTTATAATTATCATTCTGCTGAATACGTTACCGAAGGATTCGATACGTAGCCACGAATATCGATCAATTTAATATGAAAAGGTCAGACACGTCCAGTATGGCGGCCGGTGAATTAACAACGAGGTCTGTTCTCGCATAGGGTTTAAATCGGGATATTGTTAAGAAATTTATTGTCGCTACGAGGATTTTGGTCAAAGTCAATTATAGAAGAAAATGAATCCGTCGCGACTATAAATATAGTCCTAACTTTTTTCGAACATCTCACCTCGACTCTCATTTAATTAACCACAAAAAATTCATTACTCCAACTGCAGACAAACTTATATATATCTTTCTTCAACAGACAAAAATCCTTTCCCTCATCGCAGAAGAAATTACACGATTCTCTCCGACAGGGACGAAATCACTTTCCTGCTCCGTATCGTCGCGCGACGTTAACGAGATAAAAAGAGCCGTGCGCTGCTGTTCGAGGTAGCACGTATCAATAATAAATCACTTGGTGTCTTTCGAGATGTCGTCGCTCCCGGGCATATTTTCTTTCGAGCGTTTCAAAGGGAACGCTGACAATCTCTCGCGCGAAAGCGCTGCCTTTCGGCCGGGCCAACGGGAAAAAGGAACTAGGCCTCCGGCCCGAGGGCGACTTTTAAACGTCGAACCTGCCACTGTTTTTCCTTTCCTTTTTCCCCTTCTTCCCCACAATGGACGAATCCGCTAAGGAAAATCGTTTTTCCTCTCGGAGGCTCGTTTCCCCGAATTTCCCGACGCTTAACCTTTGCGTTGCCGACCGGCTGCGTCTTCATGCTCCGTACGATCCAGTGTTTACGAGTTTCCGAACGATTTATATTTCGAGAATGAGAAGTTTGAGGAATCGTAAATATTTTTCACGTTGATGCGCAGCTCTCCGGATATAAAGTTTACAAAGAAGCGCGTATAATCAATAATTATGATTAATTAGCGTTATTTATAGAATGGTTGAATTTAGATTTAGAGGAAAATAACTGATGTATTCTTAGAATTCGTATCTTAGTGGTAAGAGATTTTTGTTGGTGAAGCGACTGACTTTTCTTATTGACGTTAATCGTTTTCCGGTGAATTTCGAGGCAGTAACGAGGTCATCGAACCCTTCGCCGTTTCCGTCCGAAATCGAGCGACAATTATCTCGAAAAACGGTGGTTCCCTGGATCGAAGAGTATCGAACCGCGCGAACAAAGGCGTCGCCGCTAATTGCGAACGGCGTATTATCAATTCAGAGTTCGTTTACACGCTCGATAAGGTTTTCACCGCGACGATTAACCCTGGGAACGACTAAGCCCCGCAACTAGGCAACTTATCTGCGTGCGTAAACGTTCGTATTCGACGCTCGTTTCGAGGAACAGTATCGCGGATAAGAGTCCTTTGAAATTTTCGATTTCTCGTGCAACGAATTTCAATTCTGAAATGGAAATGCAATTGAAACTGTTCGGTATCATCAACCATTTGCCTTAGGATTTCTTTCCTTGGAATGATCGAATCGCTCGTTATTTATTAGAAATGGAGCAGTCGTACTGGTTCGGCTAAAAATAAATTTCAAAGAGAATTTAATAAGCATAACTACTCTGTTTTACTTTGTAATTATTCAGTTTTAGAGCAAATGTAGAGTAATCTCTTTTTCCAGAAAATGATTAACAAATGATTCTTTCAATCTGCAATTATCAAAAAGATAACACGTTTCTGTAAGAAATTATTAAAGAAATGATTTAGCCATACACAAACTGTAAATCAATTGAAGTCACTAGATACTCTTGAAGCTTCTATAGAGGAATTTTAAAAACTCAGTTTAATTCTGTAGGTTTGGTGTGAACGATAAAATTATTAATTATATTTACAAAAGGAATCATAGAAAAGGGAGTTAGAAATAAGGGATCATTTCGAAATCACGAAGCCAAGTGTTGTGGTTGACACTAACGAGCTATATTAAGAAGTCCCAAGGCAAGGGGTTCAAAATCATCCCCACTCGCGGTTCACCGAGGTGCCCGGTCGAAGGAAATAGACAGAGAAATAAGAAAAAAGGTGAGAGGGTCTAACGAAACACTGATTTCTGTTTCAGAGCTAGTGCCTAGAGGATTTCCAACCCCGTCCCCAGGGTGGCGGGCTCCCACAGCGTGCTCGACGAGCGGGGAGCGCGGCGGTGCAGCTAGCTGGAACGACGCTTAAGGTACGTTTACACGTGACGATCGTTGTCCTGGTAAATCGCGACATTTACTATCGTGGCACTAGGTGTCATTACTTTGAATCAATACGCTGACACAGTCGAAGTAGGCTCGACTATATCGCGCCGCTGTTCCCTTTTCTAGTGACTTCTGGCGTCTTCCGTAATTCACTTTGTCACCAAATGTATTCAGAGTTGGAATTATAGTAGTACGGTAATAATGTTGAATTTATATTTAACAAAATTCCATTCGTTCCATGTTCCATTTTCTAGTGATTTCTAGCGTCTTTTATGATCAACTTTGTCACCAAATGTATTCTGAATTTGTAATTATTGTAGTACGGTAATAACGTATAATTTATAATAATAACATTGTAGTTAACTGTGGAATTTAGTTGGAAAGACCTCTCATTCTGCGCAATAAAATCGAAAATTGGAGCGTGTACTCGTCGAAGGACGAATGCTCGTAGAGTATATTTTAATGAAAGATCAGAGCGAAACAAAGAATTACATGTTTATGTGAAAAAATAAAGAATTAGTACCATGTCAAGCTTTACGATGACGTGTATACTCGTCAAACACAGTGAACTGGTTAACAAAATTCCGTTCTTCGTTCTATGTTCCATTCTCTAGCGACTTCTAGCGTCTTCTATGATCAACTTTGTCACCAAATGTATTCTGAGTTTGTAATTATAGTAGTACGGTAATAACGTTGTATTTATATTTAACAAAATGTCGAAGGGAAGACTGTTTTAAACTTTTCGCTTGAGCTTGCAATCACCCGTGAGAGGCGTTCCAAGCTGAATGGTTGAAGCCAATGATGCGTTGTGATATTTTCTCCAGTGAATACGGGAAACGTTATTGTTTATATGACATAGTTAATTCAATATTCAAAGTAACACCTAGTTGCCCTGGTAACATTACATTATAATATTTTCATATTATTTATTATAATATTCCTGCCATTTTGTTTACACGCGTAAATATTGTAAAATATACGAAGTGACATTTCAAATTTCAAATTGCCCCCCTTAACACGTTCCGTGCCACAGAAACTTCGGTTATTGATTTTTTAAGTAAAATAGTAAGTTATATTCAGGTATTTGATGATTCTTTTATAATTTGATATTGTTCCTTTACGTGTTCACTGCTTTGTAACGCATATCACTGACCATGTATCCATTAAAAATATTTTCTTACAAAAATTGGCGTGTACCATAGGTGGTCAACCCTTTGCCGTACTATTTGCTTTCGCCATTAATCTCATGTACCATTTTACAATTGACAATTCGGAAGAAATGCAACAAAATTGTCTATTCTACTTCAGGTGGAAATTTCATTTGAAAATAATACAATAATAGCAAAATAGTTTGCTTTGATCCGTGGGTAACGAATAACATCGATTGTTGTTAACCACTTGCGCTAGAATTGAATTCAAAAATTTGGCAAAGTCTCCTGCGATGAATTTTGTTTTTATCTATTTTACGCTAATATGTACATTCATTTTGTTTGTTAATCATTCTATATAGAGTGATACGTTTCGAAGTAATCTAATAGGCGTGATGCAACAAGATTATCAGTGTGTGAAAGACAACATTGAAAATTTTCGGATAGAAACGTCTCGACGTGCGTGGCACGTCTTTCCAGCGCAAGTGGTTAAATTAGTCTAGAAATCTTCATCACGAGTCTCACTCGTCATTGTACGGCAAGGGGTTAAAAACCAAATCGGGAGACACTGCGTTAGCCGATCCCCAGGCAAGCAGGGACCACAGTTTTTCTTATCACGCGTGAACATGTCTCCAGGCACACGGTGGGCAAGCGGAGGTAGCCAGTCTAAGGAGGAGGGTTGGCGGACGAGCGGCACGCTGGTTTCGCGGTAACCCGAAAGGCGACGGAGGCGAGCAAGACACGGGCCGAGGGATCGGTGTCCGAGGGTGGCGGCCAGAGGTGACGCAGAACCGAGGAGGCGGCGGCGGCGGAGGGGAAGTGTTTGGAGGCGCGAGGAAGAAGGTGGTGGTTTGTTGTGCGCGGTGGTGGTGATTACCTCAAGGAGGATCCTGCGAGGCGGCTCTAGTGGCGAGGTTTAGGAGGAAAACGAGCGAGCCGAGCAAGAGGAGACCAGGAAGAAGATCGAAAAATAAGGGAGACACGCACAGGAGTGTACACGCGCACATATAGTCGGTTCAGGCCTTTCGTCGCGGAGGAAGGGAGGATTTAGAGGTTGGTGGTGGCGTTTGTAAGGGCAACCTGTGGCAAGATGGGCTGTGCCATGTCAGCGGAAGAGCGGGCCGCCCTGGCCCGCAGCAAGCAGATCGAGAAGAACTTAAAGGAGGACGAGAAGCAGGCCGCGAAGGACATTAAGCTGTTGCTGCTCGGTGAGTCCGGTTCGGGGGTTGCTTTTGCCTTCAACGCTAGAACTACCGAGGATTTAACGCTAAGTTTACGGAACGCGTCAATTTGACACATATTGAATTCTATAAAAAGTATTTAATAAATATTCACATCGAATTTTAATTGATGTAATTACACGAACATATAGCCTAATGTTCTATTTTTAAACTATTCATTTCCAAGATCGAAATCAACGAACGTAAATCTATTCAAAACCGATAGAACAAATTGTATGGTAAATGCTTGTAAACCTAGTGTTAATGCGACTGATATGTAATCCCTATAAAAATTGTAACGATAGATTATTTTCGGTTTCTTCAGATTCATTATAGTATTCAAGTGAAAGATATTTATTTTCGATCATTTCGAATATTCAATGCTTCTAACCCTTAGCATTCCACATAGTTTTGTGATATGTCAGCAACTTCTACCAATTTTGATAGTAGTCCTACTGAAAATTAACAATGTTGTAACATTTCTTAGATCTTTGATTCCCTTCTCAGTACTAACTTTGTATATTTGGAAGATCTAATAATCTTAAGGTAGTTTTCTTAAAATTCATTGAAATATTTAATGTTAGAACTGGTGCAATATTGGAGCCTACAGAGTTCAAAGGGTTAAGATATCAATAATTGTGAAACAAAACAATCGAAACCAGTCATTTTGACTGTTACGGTAGTTCTAGTGTTAATCGATTAGTAATTTTTCTGTTCGATAACTATTGGTAGATAATCTATGAACTGCTATGAATATTTAATTGCATAGATTAATTAAACGTGGGAGACGGAATGATTGCAGTTTGACGTCGTTTATAAATGCTTGAGATTGTTTGGAACTGTTTAAACGATTCTAGAAAATCATTTCCTTCTTAATAATTAACTTCCAGTTAAAAAAACAGAAAATCTCTTCGTAATTTATGCTTGATTTGGGATTTATTAATGAATCGTTACAATTCGACGTTAACTTGATACCGACTGGAGAACAAAACTATGCTACCTGTATAAAAACGAATGGCCGGTCGATGATTGCGTAATAAACACTTGCCTGCTTAATGGTTTTATATTCGTTGTTTATATTGCGATCAATCTAACTCATCAAGCCTCGCGTTCCACTTACATAACATACTTTTTGTGGTTGAAAATATCTAATTTCTTCCTTTGCATAATTTTCCATCCGTTTATGGAATCGATTGCGTAAATGCCACGGTAATTAATATACCAATTATTTTCCATAAATAATATTCACGTCTTCAACTCTACACTCTCAGTGTTCTATTAAATTAATTTTCTTTTTGAAACTTAATTTTCCCTTGGATCATCCGCGAATCTTGCTTTCATTTCATAGAAAATTCCGAAGTGAACCGCGCGAGAAACACACAACAGATTCTCCATCGGCACACCTGTGCAACGTTAATGCGCCGGATCAAATAGAATCGCCAGCGGATCAAGCGGAGATAAAGTAGAGATTAAATCGAAAAGTTCATTTCGAAACGTGAATTTGTCGGACGGGAACGTATGTTTCGCTCGAATGTAAAACCCTTTGCCTTATAACGACGTGTCAGGCTCGGATGAAGACTTTAAATAAAATTTGACGAACATAACTATAACTTAACTCTCTCAAATTCAAATTAAATAATTATTATACTTTAGAGAAAACAGAATATGCCCGGAATTTTTCTCTTTTGTCAATCAATTATTCATGGAAAACTAATTGTATCGATCATAATAAACAATTAAATCCTAGGGGTTAATATTTCCAGTGAATCAAAATCTATGAAAATTTCCGAACCCTTTAATCTTCAATTTTTCCAGACTCGTAGCAACTATTTCAAACCAAATTCAAATCTAAGTGTTATTTATTTGTCCAAAATCTAAATTGAACATTAAATTAGCCAAGGGGTTGATTCCCAGCAGAAAACACTCCGGATTATGTCTCCTGAGCCCGGATCCGCATTTTTATCGAGCAACAGTCCACCTAGCATCGAATCCATCGATCCTCCCGACGAATTATAATTAAACAAGATTTAACGAGCACGAAAACCGACGAATCTGGGTAGATCATAAAACTGACCGGAGTAATAAGGGTTAAAAATGTTCCATCGTATTCTTAGAAGCTCCCTGCTCGCGAAAAAAACGCGTTCACCACGGCGAACTTGCCGGGTTCAAAGGCTAGGCGACGGAAATAAAATTACGCGGAAGGTCGGGATTGTTCGAGGTAGATCGCGCGCGGAAAAAGCGAGAAAAGGGAAAAAGAAATCGCGTTCGAGAGTGCTGGAATTGAAGTGGCCCATTAATTGATCCGCTTTCCCCGTAAATACAGTTTCCGCTCGGGTTACCGTTTGTTTTTTAATGACTCGCTCGAGTAATGCGGCGATCGTGACTCGAAATTAACGGAGCGGATCTTAATTACGATGTAATTGTCACCGTACGACGTGCCTTTGCACGCTCCGATCACATTACCCTCGCACGGACGTTCCCCGGGAATTCCGACGGATCTTTCTATCACTTTTCGCTCGTCGCTCCGGGGAATGACGTAGAAATCGGGAATATCGAAAGGATAACGCGTAATTAGTTCGGGGGTGATAGAAATCCTTAATAAGAAGAGAATTTCGATCTAAGTGTTGGAATTTCTTGACCTTTCGTCAGACTCACGACGAAAATTCTAAACTGAATATGATAAATCTGAGTTTTTTTTTATTTTGTCGGAATGTAAATTGAATATCAATTATCTATTGGTAATTTCTGTCATTTGCAGTGAACGTGGATATAGTGAGCGTCGGGATTTTTTCATAAAATGTAAATCATAGGGATTAATATTTCCGGTGGATCAGTACTGATGGAAATTTCTGAATATTCTCACCGTTGCATCGAATACTTGATACTACCAGATTTCTTTCCCAAAAAACGAGATACCATACGAATTTACTCAGTTCCACGTAACTCCTCGTAAAAGAAACCACCGTACCAAACTTTATCACCAACAAATTACGAATCTACAAACATTCGCTGCGCGAAATCGCTGAGCCACGGAGTTCATGCATTCGCACGATAAATCGCTCGCATTGTTGTTCGAATGAATTAATCGATCGAATGGAGGTAGATTACGCGAGGAGAAAGCTGCAAGATTCTATTCTTTCAATCATTTTCCACGAACATCTTTGTTTATCGAAGTAATTTAAAGAATCTAAGGTCCAAATTTTACGCTCTAATTCTACGACTTTTCATCCTTAATTGAAAAAAACACAGTGATTGGAATTAATTCTTGATTTTGCGCGTTGTTTCCTTGTTCCGCGATATCTCAGCTTTAATTTAAACAAAGATTCATCGTTTTACGTGGATCCTATCAAAAGTTGTTCGATTTTAATCGGCCTTTCGTATCAAGCGGCGTCCGAACGGCGTCGCCGGGCGCCGCCGCCATTTTCGTTTTCGAAATCCTCGGTCGCGGCTGATTAAAGTCTCGCAGATAAAGAATCTCTGGTTTTCTGGTCGGCATTCAGACCGAGATTATTCGAGGGAAATCTGGGTCCTGTTTATTGGTGTTACCGGTGACGTCATTCCTTTCGCTTGCGTCTTCCACGAGTATTTTCATCCCATTTATGCCGCGGGAAACGCACACGATCGTTTTCTCTTTTAACTCGGAGCCCACGTTGCGCGGAATATTCGCCGGCCACTGTGAAATCCGAGGGTTGGCGACGATTAAACTTTGTGTTGCATAATGCGATTCTGAATTGTACCGGTTACATGGAATTTTGTAATATAACTCTATTTTATTCTAAAATACTTTATTATAAAATACATCTACCATACTATCGTGCAATTGTGTATATAATTCTATTTCATTACACATTACATATATAATATTATATTATCGTATATATAATTCTATTGTATTCGTAACATCATTCAAAACATCAGTACACAATTTTCTTCTCCAATATTCAATAATTCAATATATAATTCACTTCCAAAGAATGGTTAATATTTCAAAAAATTATATATTATTTAAGTGAAGCTACATATTTTGGAAATTACTTCGAATATTTAATATTTTCAAGACGTCGGTAATTATGAAAGAAAACTGGAACCTAATTTTCTGAGTGCAGTAGTTGCGTTAAAATTTAACAGGGTAGTTAAGGGTTGAAGGGGCTGCAACCAATTCCGCTGGATCCTTACGAATTCGTCCTCGATTTCATTCGCTGCTTCACGACGTTTCCTTGAATGCAAGGGGGAGAGATCATCGATCAATTGGAATTAATTTATTAGCCGAGTCGCCGTAAGTGGCATGCGAAAACTGTTGCCGGAAGCGAATGGGATTTTGATAGAATATGACTGATAGACTGATAGAGAGCTTACCACTGCTACATCATTCTCCAACCTAAATTCTTCTAACTAACTTCCTACATTATTATTAGACTGACAAATTCCAATTTTTACATAAATAGAATAACAAAATCACGATGGAGAAAAGACTTCCTAATAAATTCTATAAACCTAAATATTTCACAGTTCCTCGTGCATTTAACTTAATTCATGCATCCTCAAATTTCCCATAAATGCATAAGAATTATGCCATAACAATCACAGTAGCCTGACAGTAAGAAATCAAAGAAACTACATTATTAATCACTTTAATAGACTAAATTACTATAATTCTTATCGATACGCGCCTTTACAATCTACAATATTTTCTCTCAAGAATAGAATAACTTCATTTCTACCTAAACCTATCTATAACCTATTTTCTTTACAAAGTCAATGAATTATTATTGCATAATCAAATTCAACTAGTTTTAAACACATTATTCTAATTAATCAGAGAGTGCCAATATTTTTAAATTGAATTCAAACGCGTACGAACGATTGGATTAGTTCTATTTCCTAAAAAATCGGTTGGAATTGATACATGTACAGAAATCTTGTCACTGTTCTCTTCGTTTTTTCTTGAATAAGTGTTTTAATAAATTCGGTGGCAGAGCCGCTGCCACTGCGTCGCTCGGCGTGCCGGCGAACGAACGATTCGGGATGAAAGAGCTTTTTAAAAGAGGGGGAGGGTCTGACATCCATAAGCAGGAAAACAAGTTCCGCTGGCACGCCGTGCGACGCGTCACTTCCGGTTCTCCCGCTTCCGCCATAAGCGCCGCTTTTTTACGTGTCATGTGTCCGTTTCTTTTTCGCCTTTTTCCCGGTGTCCTCCCTCTTTCTTTCTTTTTCGTTCGCCGCAATTCGGAGCAGTCGCTTAGATAAGATGACACTTCGGCTTTCGGGAATTATTCCGTGGTTTCTTTAACGTTAATTACTGAGGTTGGAATGCATCGATGTTTCGGTCTCTGGGAACTTTTCATCATTTTGCTGGGAATATTTTATTATTAAAGAACAATTGTTATTTTAGAGATTTCTGAGAAAATTTGGATCATTTAGCTGAGAATATTTTATTATTAATGAGTAACTGTTATTTTAGAGATTTGAGAAAACTTAACTAAGAATATTTCGTTATTAAGAATTATTATTTTAGAGATCTTGGAGAATATTCTGATGATTTGGATAAGAATATTTATCATTTTAGAGATGTTTGAGAAAATGTCGATTATCTAGGAATATCTTTCCTCCATTTCGTTAATATAATTTCTATTTCGCAATGGTTACAGCGGTGGTAAACTGATAAATCATTCTGAGGAATGTAGCTCGATAATTTCTTCTAGAATTATCATTCAGGCTTATCGTTTAAAGATGAAAGTATGCGAACCTCCAATTGTTATTTCTGCCAGGGATCTGTTTGTTCTCTTCGCGCTAGAATTTACGCCGACAGGCAATCTGCTTTTCGCGTGTCTTTGTTACCTGTAATTTTGTTATACAACATTCCATTTAAACAAACGGTCACGGCGAAATTAATGTTACGGGATTTTATCTTCTCCACGGTTGAATATCTGCGCGGTTCCACTGAAGAACTGATAGTGTGTAGAACAGTCTACTAATCGTCTCGTTTTTTTCAGGCGCCGGTGAGTCCGGGAAAAGTACCATCGTAAAACAAATGAAGTAAGTCTGCAATTATCCATTACAATTTAACGCAATATTTTAATAAAAAGCAGAATTTTACAATCTTTTTGACGCAATATTTGATGAAAAAACAATGTTTTATCGGAATTTATTTGATTTATTTAATTCGACTGCAGTCGATAACATTTAAAAATTGCACAACGAAACTATCTTTAACCTGTCCCATTCGTCTTAATATTTAAAACGTGTCGTCCGCCATTGTTACGCAGAATTGCGGTTCAAAATAAAAGCAGCGTCGCCGTGTCTCTTAACTTCATTAAGGGAACGTCGGATCGGTCGTTCACCCGAAATAAAGAAAAAATCAATAATTTCAGCGTTGAAAGAACAGTTTGCCGGTGAAACGTGTTTCAAATCTTGTTCTCCCGTCAATGGCTCCATTCACGGCGTCCCGTGAACAAAAGCCCGCGTATTCAGCCGCTGGTCAAGACTTCCGGACCGTTAATTGATAATATTCCCCGCAGACAGCTTCGGTTTTCCGTTTATGGCAGAATTCCGATCGATCCGACGCAGACCTGAATCGAAAACGGACTTTCCTATTTGAATAAGATTCTGATTAGACTCGAGGCTGATTCAAAATTTTGAATTTTTCTGTTCGCGTTTTATACGGTTCGATATTTTAAATTATCCACGGTGTTCCCTGTTCTTTCTTTATAGAATTATCCATGAAAGCGGTTTTACACCGGAAGACTTCAAGCAGTATAAGCCCGTGGTGTACAGCAACACGATACAATCCCTAGTCGCTATTCTCAGAGCGATGCCGAACTTGGACATCAGCTACACGAGCAACGAGCGAGAGGTGCGTCAAACTTTGTGTTTATTATTTTAGAGATTTTTATAAACTGGGCTGTTCAAAGCGAGAATAAGTGTTCATAAAAACTCGGCTGACCCCATTCCTACGAGTAAGTGATCCTCGGAGAAGATTCATCCTGCAGTTTCATTTTTTAGCGATGATCCATCCTCTATCCGGTTACCTTTTAGCTACCAACAGTTTAGGGGTAGCCTATAGATCATTGTCTAGCTCGTTGCAAGACATTTTTTCGATTATTGCTAATGATCCCCAAAAAAACTTCATTCAGCGGCAGTTGTCTCAATGTTTTAGCGATGATCCATCCTCTATCCGGTTGCCATTTAGCTACCCACAGGTTAGCGCTGCCCTATACATCACCCTACAGCTCGGTGCAAAAAAGTTTCGCAGCCGATGTTGAAGTCAAAAATTATCGACAGCCGAGCACTTGAACAAGATCGATGCGCATCTCGAGGCGGTTCTGGAGTACCCTCTTCAGCATATTTACCGGTCGTGCAGCGTCGCGGCTGCGTCGTTTACCTTAGAGCCAATAACGAGAGCCCCTGCCTCGAAAACAACGCGGCACGAGGGTCTGACTTGAGTACCGATTGATCCGGCTTTTCAGACCAGTGCCTCTCAATCCGCCGCGTCCACGCCCACCCCCGTGATATTTAATATTCTATTACCTCACTGCGTCTTCGTCTCAACTTCCATCGGATCCTCCGAAAAGTCTCGTCGCGTTTCCTCCAGGAAACACGAAGGCACTTCGTTGAACTTCGTCGAAGTTTATCGAGCAGTCTTATATTCCGCGAGATTCGCCATTGATTAAATGGAATATCGAACGGAATCGAATTCTGCGGCTAATAGACTTTATTCTTTAACTTCGAGCAACCAAGTCGATGAATTCACCCACTGTCGAAGGTTTAATTTCTGTAATGTGGTGATAAAATGATGACTACTATCTTCGTAGTTACAGCTAATTTCGATGTTTCTATAATTTTGAGTATTCTTCGCGAAGAATACATTGCAATTATTATAGAAGACAACAGTGGAATGTTTGTTAGAGGCTTCTCGATAGGTTTATCCGCGGAAATGAAAACCCCCTCGGAATTTGGCAGGATTTCACGTTCGCGAAACTCCCATCGATACTTCGGCCCACGGACAAGCTTTGATAGCAACAGTTCTCCCTTGTCAGCAACCGAGGACTGTTGATGGACTACCTGTTGATCGGCAACCTGATGGCTTCGCTAGTGCTTCGCGACAGTTTGCCTCGCTTAATCCGGCACTCGTGTGCTCGACACTTGTCCACGCTAACAGTTTTCCATTGTCCCGCGCTGTTTTCTCGGGAGCGGCGCTGTTTTTTATGATAATTCATCCGATCGAGCGATCCAGTGCTCCGCGTTCTCGCAGCGGATCGTTTCTCTCTTGATTCCATCCGCGAATCGCCTGAGTAGCCAGAGGAAGCTTCAAACTTACTGAAGACTCGCAATTTTTAAGGTTTTCATTATTAATGGACTACGCATTCTAAACGAAACCGATTCAAACTTGACATTCCTTCGCGAATCGTTTCAAACCACTCGCCAAACAAGATAATCATTTCGATTCGCGAGAGACAATGTTGTAATCGTTCTCGAAGCAACCTGGAATCGATGGTTGATCGATCCAGATCGAATTTCAGTCGTCAAACGTTGTCAAACGCGTTCAAACGCTCGCAAGCTTTGAATAAAAGGTTATTCACGAGAGAGAATGTCAGGTATACAAAGGGAACTCGATTGTCTCGAGTTTAAAACAGCGTTTTGCGAATGTGTTTGGCTCCTCGTGTTCCAGACGGACTCGAAAATGGTGTTCGACGTGATCCAAAGAATGGAGGACACGGAGCCGTTCGGCGAGGAGCTTCTGGCCGCGATGAAGAGGCTCTGGGCGGACAGCGGGGTCCAGGAATGCTTCGGCAGGAGCAACGAGTATCAGCTGAACGACTCAGCGAAATAGTAAGTCCAATTAATCATTCGTCATTTCGTAAATTACCGATTCTACATAGTCTTATCGAAGACTATCTAAAATCGAAACGTTTCTTAGGTAATTTTCATTAGGTAAAAGCACCTCGAAACTTCTGCTATTCAATTTGAAAACCAACTTTCGCGTGTTCCAATCGAAATTCTTAATCAGTATTACGTCAGCGCATAGCCCCGATCTTTTCAAAATTCGAGAAGCTACGATTACAAGCGATAAAACGATGGTAGACATGTTGGATTCCCTTTCCCCCGAATCGCAGAGTTTACAGAACAGCCCCGAGAGTGGTCTCGCATTCAGTCCCTCATTAAACTTCCATGAAAATCGATCGGCCATCTTTGTGGAACACTTTCGGCCGCGGTAAATCCGTCCTTGTTTTTTTCCACAGTCAGAGGGGAATATAAAAATTGAATAAGTACTCTCGGAAGATCCTTGTTCTTATTGAAAGAGAATCATTTTTACGTTCTGCCTCTTCTCTGTGTATACAGGGTGCCCTATTTATTTCAGTACCGAATATTTTCTCTTCGTTCGTTGTAAGGAACCTTTTATTCGAGCGGTTTTTCATTGGGAATAGGAAAGGAACGACGATGACAGGGTTAAGAACGTGAAATTGAATATTTCGTCATCGACACTTCGACGAGTCGATAAGACCAGTCGCTTACGCTTCCCAGAAATCTTTTATTTGAACGCGCGCACTCACACTGCGACACGTGCACCTCGACGCAACTTTATCACCAGTTGCTCTTCGAACACGTTGCACGGCGACCAGTCCTCACGCGCTCGAACCTTCGGAGATTCGTATTTTTTCTCATGGAGAATTCAGTGTACCCTCGAATAGCAGCGCTGGCGGCCGCAGTCACGTGCCAGTGACTTCCGGTCACCGGTAGCTACAGCCCAGCATCGCGTGCACGTGATTTCAGTTAATTACTGGGACTGTTCAGCACTATTAACATTGTTAAACGACTTTCCTTGCAATGGAGATTTTAATATTTCCTAAATTTCAAACAATTTCTGAATTCTCCTTGACTTAGCATAATTCCAATTATATCTCACGTATAATTCCAACACATCTCAATACAGCTTTTTCCTAAATTTATAAGTTAACTACAAAAAAGACTCCCATACTTCCATACCATTTCCATCATTCCCAATACTCAGAACCAATAAAACTCCAATCCCAAAAGTGCCATTTCGAGGTAGCTCCCCAAAACATTCTAATTTAACCTTTGCGCTCGGAAGTTTCTTACTAGAAATATTTTAGCTATTTTATTTCAATATTTCTCAGATGCGTTACACAAATTAATATTAACTATCAAATTTTATAATTTTACTATATGAAATCGGGTAGCGAGTCACCCCAGTGCAAAGGATTAAACATAAACGACCAGAAACAACCCCAAAAAGGTACGACACGGTTGCCCTTTCTAATGAAATTCGACCGAGCCGGCGGACATATTGGAAAACTCGGTTGGCCCGTTTCGCCGGCCAATTAAACGATCACGCCGACACGTGCCTGTTTCCCCGGGTGCGAAAAAAAGCTGGAGGACAGAAGCATGAAAAAGAAAGATTATCCCGGCTCCAAGGACCCAAAAGGATCTCCCTTTTCCCCGTTCTTTCCCGTCCCTCTTATTTAGGTTCAGCGGCGTATTGATCGCCGATGACGTCACGCCACGCCCGTGTCACGTGGCCTAAAATGGCCGCCGACACCGTATCCCCCGGTTTTCACCTCCCCCGGGCTCCGCGTTCCCTTTTTCATTCTATTACTCGCCCCTTTTCCCTCGGCCGGCAAGGGAGAACAGTAAGAAAATAGAGTGACACAAGAATGAAAGAACGTGGCTTTCCTTCGGGGGGTCGTTGAAGGGGTCGCCAGGGCGCGGGGCGGGAAAAACAATGGAAAGAAAACAGCACTTGCACCCGAGAAATTCGTAATAATTGGACACTTAATAATTACCGAAAGAAAAGCTGGCCGGGGGATTTAAAGCGGACAAGTTGTAACGGAAACCTTGGGGATCTGTTTCCTTTTTAATTGTGCCTTTGAGCTTCTATTTTCGTCCCCTCAGTCAATTTTCCAGAAGTCTTGTGCGTTGCCTCGTTTACCGTCGCACGATGATTGTTGTAGGAAATTTTATAAGTTAACCCTCTGCACTCGGAAGTATTTCGTTGGAAATTTTCTAACTAGACGAAGGTGATATTTTTTGAGATTAACCCTTTGAACTCTGTAGGCTCCAATATTGCACCAGTTATATTAAATATTTCAATGAATCTTAAAGAAACTACCCTGAAATTATTAGATTCTCCACACATCCGAATTTTGTACTAAGAAGGAAAATAGAAGATCGAAGAAATGTTGCATTTCTCATTTTCGCTGGGAATAGTATAAAAATTAGTTGCAGTTGCTGATAGATACAAAACCATCTGGAGTGCTAACGGTTAACTCAAAGAGAAATCACAAGTAAATTGAGAAACAAAGCTCTTTTATCCCAATATTTCACGCACCGATACATGGTCCAATATTAAATATCAAATTTTATAATTTTACTTCATCTCAGGTGGTGCCTGAGTGTCACCTCTCGAGTGCAAAGGCTTAAGTACAAAAAAGGACTTCCATACTTGTCAAGAAACCATTTCCATTCCCAATACTAAGAAACAATGAAACAATATGAAATTTCATGCGTCGCTTTTGTTCACCGTTGCATCATTGTAGGAAATTTTCGTTAGATATTTGGTATCGGTCGATGATAAACGCGTGTTTACACGCGTCGTCGGAATTTTTCATGAAAACGATAGACTCCGCGTTGATTGACCCCTGGGTTTCGTGTGTACAAGGTGTTCCGGAAATATTGTCGTTTTTATCCTTTGAGGACGATCGAATTTTGATATTCGGAATACTACGTTGTAAACAAATGATTTAATTGGCGAAACAGCAACAGATCGGTATATAGGTTCTTGTTCGAGCTCGTGGAACGGCGAGGACGAGTAAACTCGTCGCCAGCGGTGGATCCGTGCACTCCGAGCGACGTTTTTTTCGGAAAACACCCGTATCCGATTTCGCTGTTAGACCAGCGCTGCTGTAAATTCGATCGTATTTACATGTATCGCGGCCCAGGACGCTGTAAATTAATTTCGTTCGAGTTTGATCGCGGCCGCGGAGAGGGTTCACGGTCACGGATCGCGCGGTCGAACGGTTCAAACGATCAGTGGTCTCTTTCGAGGGGACTGGACAACTTTTGTCGAAGTTTTACAACTTTGTCACGTCTTCCTCCTAAATTAATGATATCTTTGTGGTTCGCGATGAATATTGTTGTAGGCGACTCAAAGAAATAGAAATTAAATGGTTTTTACCGAGGAAGAAGGTATAGAATTCTTCCCGATAATTCAAGGGAAATTAGAATTCAATTTTATTGGAAAAGAAAATCAGAATTGAGTTTTTCTCAGTGACTCGAAACTTGAAATTGAATTGTTTTCACTGAAAGAAGTTAAAATCGAATTTCTCTCGATATAATCAAGGAATATTCAAATTAAACGGTTTTCACTATGAAAGAAACTATTATAGAATTTTTCCATAATTCGAAGAAACATCGTATTAAGTTGTTTTTATTAGAAAAGGGAGGTTAAAGTTGAATGTGTCCATTGTAAGTTATTATTCATTGTTTCTTTACCTGGAATTCGGGAGTACCCAAAATAAGGGATTAAGGATTAACCCAACTCCGAACGAGACTGTTCCACCACAGCACCTGGCCAGGAATCTCCAAAATGGCGTCGCAACCTTTCGCTATCTCGTATTAATAACCCGCTATTTTTGCTGGACACCCGACACCCATCAGTCCTCTCCCCGATATCCGTGGGTGTGCACGAGCGACGGGGAACAAACCTGAAAATCGCTAACGACCCCCTCCGATAAGATGGCGACGACCTGTACAGATACGTCCAACTTTGGAAACGAACGGCTGATCTTGATCATCGGTATCATTCAATTTTAACCCTTTGCGGACGAATGTCAACACTCTGCCGAGATCAAACTTCCATGTTTGGAACACCAAGTTGCAAACAAATGACCTAACTATTCGAACAGCAAGAAATCAGTACACAGTTTCCTTATTCTTTATGATTTAAGTATTCAGCGTTTAATTTAGCAGAATCTGCGAACGGTTTTGTGTACTAAAAACAATCTTCGTCCGCAAAGGGTTAAACCTGTATCATTATTATTATTCGTCTTTAGTTCTGAATAATTGTATCACCTTTCGAACATCATTACAAAATTTCACATTCTCTGTGAAATTGATCTCGCTACGAGATATGCAAAAATAATTCACATTTGAAGATTCCTTAATATTCCCTATCTAAAATTGATCGATGTAACATGATTTACAAACAATTCACTTGACTCTACAATTCGTTAATTATCGATTCAACTGAATAGCAGAGCTCAGAAGGATGTTGCTCCCTTCGAGTTTCGTCGTGAAAAGTTTGAAAATTGCCCGAAACGACGGAGGACGCTCGGTATTTTCTATTTTAGACAATCCGATCGGTGCGGGGACTGCACCGCGCAATAAACGGTATCAAACGACGTTTATTTGTGACATGATAAACGGCCAGCCTTTCGATACGCGCCATTTCCCCGGCGTTCGCACCGAAAACCTCTCGTGCCGAGTGGCTCTCGTGCGTCGCGCGTGTTGCCGTTCCGCGGAGGGTTTAATTTAAGGGCTGATTTCAAGCTCGAGAGCGTGGATTATCGTTTCCGCGGAGCCGCCGAGGTAGTTCTCGGCCGCGTGCCCTCGGAATTTGAATCGGTTGCCACGCGACGCGTCGGGGAACAATGAATTTTTGAGGGGACAGCTGATAAGGGTTGATCCTTTCGTGAAAATTTCAGTTTCCTGGACGACCTAGACCGATTAGGAGCGAGAGACTATCAGCCTACCGAGCAGGACATCTTGAGGACCCGTGTGAAAACAACGGGAATTGTCGAGGTCCACTTTTCCTTCAAGAGTCTGAATTTCAAGTGAGTGCTTTGCTAATTCAACATTTTTCATCGCGAATAATTATATTATTAGAAATATAATATTTTTATTTGTAGTATATTTATTATGAATAGTGATATTATTACTATCGTATTCATCATAAATAGTGATATTATTATTTATATCAGATTCAACATAAATAGTAATTTGTAAATATTTTTATTTGTATCATATTCATCATAAACAGCAATATTATTAAATAATTATTATTATTATATATTATTATATAACATATTATTATATAATTTATACTACATTTATATAACAATTTAACAATTCCATCTTCCGTTAGTCATATATTACATAAATCTGATTACTTCATATCGGTTTAATTCAATTCAATTCAATTCACTATTTCGATGGTTTCAATGCTCTCTTTGAAATACGCGTTGACGTGACATTCTGCCGCAGTCCAAGGGTAAAGTTCTTTTTCTTGAACACGGAGTAGCTCGCCGAGAAGTATAAGGAAAACCGTGAAACCTGCCATCCGAAATACAGGTGCAGCCTTATCGAGTGCACTCTGATACAGCGTTATCGTTACAGGAACGCTGGGACAAGCGGCGATCTGTTTTCCGTTCGACGATCGAACGATTCTTTTTCCCACTATCTCGCACGCTAGCGATAGTACGGTTTGGTTTGGACGTGTTAACATCCTGCACGGTGCAGATAAAGCGACGAATTTGTGCTCACTTCCGAAAGTAGTCTATTAATAGCCGGACTAAAGGATAATGAAGCTGCATTCGGTGTTCTATTAGTATCGCTCAAGGAATCGTCGTTGACAACGTGAAAAGAATTTAGTATAATAGAAAGTAACAATTATTGAATCGTTGACAAAATGAAAAGAAATTATTTAGTATAATAGAAAGTAAGATTTATTGAATGGTTGGCAAAATTAAAAGGAATTATTGAGTATAACAGAAAATAATTATTGAAGAGTTTATTACAAGATATATAGGGTGATTATTCTGTACTGTAACTGTAGGTGTATCGAATGAAATGTTAAAAATTGATAAAATGAAAATAAAATATAAAATAGATAAAATTCAAATGAAGTATACTGTAATCAATCAAATTGAAATAGAATTGAAATGAAATATATTGAAATAAATAGCATGAAAATCTTATTCGATCAATCTAGATATTGATTTTAGCGTTATCGAAGATTAGAGTCGTTTGCTATGATACTTGTTCTGTTGATCATTATCTTGGCCGTGTTTGCAATATGACATAACTGCATGCAAAAACCGCAGTTCACCGGAACCATAATCATTGTTGTTGGCCAGCACGGCTGGGAGATAAGCGTGAACGCAGCAGTGGAAACATGAATTGCATCACACGAATATTAAAGCACGCGTTATCGGTGCAACCCCTCGTATTAGCATTCTAAAATTAATTAAAACAGATGTTTACTGGGAAAAGTGTGCGGCTCTTTATCTTGACCAAAATAAGTGGGATATAAATCATTTTGACCGTTGTGTTGTTGTGGAAATCGTTCATAACAGGTTTATGTGTATTTCAAAATTATTAATTACATAATCAAATTTTATTTTTACGTTCCTCGATGAATTGCCTATCATAGAATCGCAAAGTTTTATTGGAAATCTAGAAATTACAAGATTTAATTCAATCAGAAGATCACAAAAGTTCAAAACAAATTCGTTTCACGACTTTGCTAAATTAGAAACATCCCTTTCTTTAGAGAATCCCAGAAATTATAAGATTAGAAGATAATAATATTCCAATCCACTATAAAATCCCAAAAATTCAAAACAAAATCATGACGTTCCCAAATTAGAACCATCTCTCATCAGAGAATCCCAGAAATTATAAGATTAGAAGATAATATTCCAATCGACCATAAAATCCCAAAAATTCAAAACAAAATCGAGTCACGATGTCCCAAAATTAGAAACATCTCTTTCATTATAGAATCCCAGAAGTTATAAGATTAGAAGATAATAATATTCCAATCCACCATAAAATCCCAAAAATTCAAAACAAAATCACGACGTTCCCAAATTAGAAACATCTCTCATCAGAGAATCCCAGAAATTATAAGATTAGAAGATAATAATATCCCAATCGACCATAAAATCCCAAAAATTCAAAACAAAATCGAGTCGCGACGTCCCAAAATTAGAAACATCTCTTTCATCAGAGGATCCGGAGACTCCGGCGGGAAATCGTGTTACAAGATTAGAAGATTAGAAGAATGTTTCCCGATTATAGCAACGGCTCTGTTCGAACGGTTCACGTTTTCCCGCCAGCGCGATAACTCACGCCCACGCGCGCCGCGCGAATTCGCAGTTCGTTCAAATCGCTCGTTTATTTTGTTCCGTGTCTCGCGTTCGAGAAAAATATTAACCGAGCGAGCGGGAGGCTCGGCGGAGGGAAACAGCCAGAGAGAGAGAGAAAGAGAGCAATGTCTCGTGAATGATTGAGCATGAATCATGCTGCTGATAATTTAAGAAACCGATTGTGGGAGCGAGCGTTCCTCCTTCGGGTTCGCTCTTCTTCTTCTTCTTGTTTTCTCCCTCGCTCTCTCCCGGCGAAAAATAAAATTAACTTCGATTCTATTCCTAGACTCCGGCTGTTTACGTGAACCGTAAGCTTCACCGATTAACATATAAAATGTAGAACCGAGAAAAATTTATACATTTCTCTTAGCAATTCTGTTAAATTGAAGATCATCTTGATTCTTGTATTAGGTTGTTTCATTTAATTGAATACGCTGGATTATTCTATCTTAATTTAATGTAGTGTGAATAAGACTTGATTTGGATAAATATTTAATGATATTTAACCCGTTGCACTCGAGAGATTCTCAGAAATATCCAGTACGTTCTAATTAGATGTAGACTAATTTTTAGACTTTGAAATGCATTTAAGAAATCACATATGAATTAGGGAAGTAAAGCTATTTTAGTTTATCAAAGTTTATGATGTTGCTCTATCAAATTATCTGGTGACTGGGAGTCGCCTTTCGAGTGCAAAGGATTAATATCATATTCAATTTAATATTAGGTTCAATATTGATTTAATACTTGATGATAAATAATTAATTTGTGTTCTAAATCGAATTTATTCTACGTGTCTTCTAATGACACCCAGACTTTAGCACACAATTATAGTCATTTTCAATTCTTTGAAGTATTTATAACTTTTCAATATGTCTATTAAACTAAATACTGGGCAGAAGAGAAACAGGGGATAGTTTATTTATTATCCCTTTGCCTTATAATTTCTTTTGCTATCATCAAGTCCCTATTATACTCGACTGTTAAATAAAAGAATTTTGATTTCATATCATGAAATGATCAGAACAGAAACATAACATTTAAAATACTAAAGGATTTCACTACGAGACGCATTCGACGTTACAAAGGCAAAGGGTTCGTTCCGAAAGGTGTTGTTTAGTCTTAAGCATGACACAAACACGTGAATAATTGGATAATTATTAATTTCTCCTTCACTGTACACTTTGCCACAGATTGTTCGACGTGGGTGGCCAAAGAAGTGAACGTAAGAAGTGGATTCATTGCTTCGAGGACGTGACTGCGATCATATTCTGCGTCGCGATGTCTGAATACGATCAAGTGCTGCATGAAGACGAGTCGACGGTGAGCCACCATTTCGAACTGATTACGGTCCATCTGAAAAAAATTATTAATCCTTTGCGGACGAAGATTCTCTGAAATATAGAAAACCCTCGACAGATGAGGCTAAATTATATCACAATTACTTAAAGAATAGAACTACCGAGCATTTAATACGATAAAAATTGTAACAATAGATTATTTTCAGTTTCTTCAGACATTCATTATAGTATTCAAGTGAAACTATTTTCAAAATCATTTCGAATATTCAATGCTTTGAAGATATTAATAATTACTAAACAAAAAGATCGAAACCAGTCATTTTGACTGGTACGGTAGTTCTAGTGTTAAACAATAGAAAAATAGAAAACTACGTGCTAATCTCTTGCGATTCCATTAATTAGATCATTTGTTTACGACGTAGACTTCCAAATATGAAAATTTCATCTCGTCGACATTCGTCCGCAAAGGGTTAAACAGTATTCCTTTATTAAAATAAATATCACAATCTTATCATTTCTATTCATTTACAAAAGGCATTTACAAACAGTCAGCAGGTATACAGGGTGTTCGCGATCATTTACCATCGATTCTTTCGTAAACGGTGGACAAAAGAAACAGAAGAGAAATAATAGAATTTGATATTTAAAATATTGAAATAAAATAACTTTCAATGGTGTGATTTCTCAAGTTTCAAAATATCTAAATTTGTTGTATTTCTATTTTTCTACTCGAGAGACTCACCATTTGATTTCACACAGCAAAACTATAGAATTTGATATTTAATATTATATTTCCTATAACGCATCAATTTTAGAAATATTGAAATAAAATACCTCTCAACGGTGTGATTTCTCAAGTTTCAAAATAACAACAAAATATTTCTAATGAAAAACTCCCGAGTGCAGAGTTAACATTTAACATTTTCCCTAATGTTCACCATTTACAAGGGAACCGATGGTAGAAACAATCGGGGACATGTTGTACATAAAATATTAGACTGCCGTTTCTCTCTCGAAAAATGGACGAGTAAAATGCTGGAAATTGGTAATTAAATGTGAAACGCGGATAAAATTTTCATTTACGAGAAGGTGAAAAGGTTCGCCGGGCGTGACGAGAGCGTACCTGAATTGAATTAACGTATTCATTGTCACATGGGTCTGGTGGGAGGGACACGCGATCCGTCACGGTGCCCGGGCCGTTGACAATGAGGGGAATTCAAGAAACTGGAAACCCGGTGCACCCTACAAAATTACATATGGACTGACGATCGGCAGTCCGATGTGGGAAGAGAACGTGACAGTGTGCAATTGTCGGAAATTAACGGGTTCTTCTGGTGAAACGACCTCACCCATTAACCCCTCTTGCCGGCGAGTCCGTTGGGCACGATTTATTATCTATTTCGCGTCGCTTGGGGTGGCCCCTCCAGACTTTCGTTTCGATGATGGTTTTCTGGGGAAAAGTTGCTGGCGAAGTTTTGTAATTGTTTCGCAGAGTAGTTTTTTTTGCGACATAATATTCTGCGATTGAATGTTTTGTAATTAAATAGTTTGTAATACAGTGTTTTGTAGTAGAATATTTTATGATGCAATGTTTCGCATTGTGATATTTTGCAGTAGAATATTTTTCAATGCAATATTTTGTAATTTTTTCGGCGCAGAGTAGGTCTTTTGCGAGATAATCTGCAATTGAATGTTTTGTAACTGAATAGTTTGTAATAGAGTGTTTTGTAGTAGAATATTTTATAATGCAATGTTTCGCAATGCGATACTTTGTAGTAGAATATTTTTTAATGCAATATTTTGTAATTTCTCGGCGCAGAGTAGTTTTTTTGCGAGATAATCTGCAATGTTTCGCAATGCAATATTTTGTAGTAGAATATTTCATAGTATAGTATTTTGCAGTAGAATATTTTATAATGCAATATTTCTCACTGCAATATTTTGTAATAGAATATTTCATAGCACAGTATTTTGCAGTAGAATGTATTATAATGAGATATTTTGTAATGCACTGTTTTACAATACAATATTTGGTAATAGAATATTTCATACCACATTTTATACTACATTATTTCACAACAAAACACTTTATATTAAATTACTTTATAATACAATAGTTACTTTATAATAGACTATTCTATACTACAATATTTTTCATTACAATACAATAGTTTGTTTAATATCACTAAGCAACATATTTCAAAAACAATAGTTTTAAAATGTCTATCTTACATGCTCTGCACAGATTAATCTTTTCACCGTTGCATTTTTGTTCGCAGAATCGAATGCAGGAAAGCTTGAAGCTGTTCGACTCAATTTGCAATAACAAATGGTTCACCGACACCTCGATCATTCTATTCTTGAACAAGAAAGATCTCTTCGAGCAAAAAATTCGCAGGTCCCCTCTCACCATTTGCTTCGCCGAGTACGCAGGTGGGTCGCCATCTTGCCCACCGACGAAACGAACCCTTCGATTCCGGCATTAATATTGCAAAATTAGATTGTCGTGTCACGTCCTAGTACAAAAATAGAGAGTGTTTTGTAATCCCTTGGCGTCCTTGGAATTCCATCACGCACCACAAGAATATAATTCCTCTTGTTTGGGCTGATCTAAATAACATTCCGAGACGGTGTACAATATAGTCGAACGGATCGTGAGAAACAAGTTCCCTTGGACTTACGAATTAAACGTTACTTTAAATTAATACCATTACCGAAGTTCGTCGAGGCTCTGAATTATTTCGGCAGCCAATTATCTTCGACGCTATCTGATTGCATTGGAGATTATTAATGAGTCTGGGTAGACACCTGATTAGAGCACAGAGTAATGGTGACCATAATTATCCTCAATTTTTAGTATCTCAATTATTAAGATTAACATTAGATTAATCCTAGATAACTAAACTTTAGTATCAAATTAAAGACACATATTCAAACAAAGTATCAGAAAAGAGATATACATTATCAGTATTTAATTTAATTAAATGTTAATAGTGTCCTGAATCCAAATTCATATAACTAGCAAAGGTATATTTACATGAATGTCTACTTACCTAGAGTCAAGAAACAATTTAGTATAATTCAATAATATAATATGACACAATGTACAACAAAAGAACAAGTAACACCGTCGAAAAGCCTCAAAGACATTTCATTCAGAATAATCTGAATAAGCCCAGGCCAGTCGAAGCGTGAATCATTGAACAAAAATTCGCCATTGTGCTTATTGAATAAAGTCCATTGGCTAATAACCAGGCGCAGAAAAATGCGAGCTAAATATAAGCGAATTACATTGAACCCGCTTGCTAACACGCTTGTTTATTGTGCAGGAGCGCAAGAGTACGGCGAGGCGGCCGCATACATCCAGGCGCAGTTCGAGGCGAACAACAAGACAGGCAATAAGGAGATCTACTGCCACACGACTTGCGCCACTGATACAACCAACATTCAGTTCGTGTTCGACGCGGTCACAGATGTCATTATCGCCAATAATCTCCGTGGCTGCGGTCTCTATTAGGATAAATATTCCCGTCGCGGAGCCGATCGACCGACACACACTCACACTCACACACACTCACACCACAGACATGTATTGCGAGAACGAGGGAGCGCGTGAGAGAGAGAGAATGAGAGACCGAGAGACTGACACAACAGGCTTGGCGAGAAAGAGGACAGCGTGCACGAGGGGGGAGAGAGAGAGAGATTCGGAGAGACCGAGGCGAGAGAGAGTGTGAGAGAGAGAAGCATACCTATGTACCCACCGCTGCTACTACTCACCACCTGCGGATACCTTCTCAATAGTTTTTATCGACTGCCCTTTCGAATCTTTCTTCGAAGATCGACTGAGACCGCGAGGATCAGCAGGGTGCTTCTTCCGCGCTTGCATAAAGGCAACCCGCTCGACAGCCGAGGTGGTTGCCGTCGGTGCGGGTAGGATTGTTGAGTAGACACGTGTCTCGTGGATTCTGGATGGTTTCTTAACGCTGGAACTACCAAGCAATCTGACTTTTTGAAATTTCTCTGTAGAGACTAAAGTGTAGCTATTGAGACTTCAGTTTATTTGCACTGTAGGTTCTGTGTTAGTAAATCAATTTCTGTAGTAACTTGTCAGAGAAGCAGCTGTTATCTTTTCAATAACTGGAAAAGAAATGAACCAATTTCTTTTACAGTTATTGTGAAGGTATAGAGACTTTTGAAATGATTGGAGAATGATTTAGGAAAACCTAAACTGAAATGGAAGCCAATTGGAATGTTAATAAGTTCATGCTTGTAGCTTCTATAAAGAAATTTAAGAAAGATTTAAGTGGAGTTAAAATGATAAATTTCTTGGTTTTTTCTTTTGCGATTACTGGAAAGGAATCTTTGAGAAATTACTGAAGCTGATTAGGTAATAGCTAAGCTAGAGTTGAAGCTAATTCGAATCTCAATAAATCCACGTTTGTAGTCTCTATACAGAAATGTTTGAAAATCAGTTTGTGCTCGGTAGTTCTACTGTTAACCCTTTGTGCTTGGAGTTTTCCAAATGTTTGATGGGTTTTAACAAGACGGTATTTTTTAGAGTTAATCTGGAAAGCTACTTTGATCCGGTATTTGATATACTGATATATTAGAGAACTTAGTGTTGGATATTGAATTTTGTAAGTTTAGTGTTAAATTGAACGACGAGAGTCGCCTCTCGAGTGCAAAGGGTTAGAAATCTTAATATATCTGTTAGTGGTGTAATAATTTCAGAGACTCGGTAAACGTGATTAGGCATCCTGTAGGCAAGTCTGGATTATCTTTTATTGGGTCTCTTGGAGTAGGTTGTCGAGTCGAGCAGCTTCTGACAAAGAAAGGCTCTTAGTATTTATTTGACACCGGTTTACGAGGATCAAAATGGCAACCACCGTTTCGCGAGTGAATAATCTGATAGCTCGCGTTGTCTAAACAAACGGAACTCGTTGTTCTCGAAGTGCCGTAGGAATTTCTCGAGCGAAGTCCATATGGCCCGCGAATGAAGGAGCACCCTGCACTCTCCTTGAAAATATCTTCGTGTAAACGAAGAGGAGGACTCGGTAAACAATCACAGCCCCCGCCGAGAGCAACGGTTCAAAGTCCGGCGGAGAAGATCGAAAGGAGACTCACCAAAGATCGATCCAGATTTTTCATGGATATCGCGACGAATCGCACAAAGACCAATCACGGAACACATTTCGATCTCCCGATGCTTTATCTTGGTTTCAATTGCCGAGTCACCGACACGCGGAGTACGGGGCTCTTTCTAGGCTAGAAAATCATTGACATGTTTGCTTCGAAATCGATTGAGCACAATTATATCATAGTATACAGAGTGATTCATATTATTACACTAATTAAGTTAAGCCTGTGAGAATATATTACAAAAGTATAGCAAATGATTATTTAACTGACTTCTCACAGGACTTCGTTTGAGGTTATAGGCGTGGCCAGACGAGTCACGCGGCCCGGTGAATGGCCTTGACCGACCAAATGATTTTAAGCCAACTATAGTGACCTCCTTCTATACCCCACGAAGCACCAATGAAGTTCAGTTGAAGTTGCGTCTACGAATAAGAAATTCCGTATGAAGATTCTGTATACATTAGTTCCCCGACCGTCTCGGATTTTTATAATTAAAAATCTTAAGATGAAACGTTCGATTGTTCGTTAAGTTAAGTTCGATACGGAATTTTTAATTATAAAAATTTCACGTGACCTGCTTCGCCAATGATTTACTATCTTAGCCGGGACACTTTGTAATATAAAATCCGACTCTCCTTTATCCCGTGTACCAGGTCGTCGAATATTTTCGCTTTACTTCGAACATATGTTACGTTAACGATCGCACAGAAATCGCACACAACAAACCGACGTTTAGTTAGTTTAATCAGCGAACGGGACGGTCGGGGTCAGTGGTCCTAGAGTTCTCGAACAGTGCACAAGTTTCGAGGGAGTTTTGTCAAATTGAACCGTGAAACGATTTCCAACGCGAAGGAACTTTAGGATTAAAGCTAGCACAATATATTCTATACGTATATCGGTACGGACCATTTAGAGGTTTCTTAATTATTCTCGAGTATCAATCGGACGAACGTCTTTTGTTTCCATTGAAATTATCGGTGCAATACGATTCGTGGAGAGGGGTGGACGAACGTTGTTTCACGTAGTTCGAGAAAGATTTTCGCATTCGATGCTTCGCAGGCTCTCGTTTCATCAACGCACATTCACAACAATCTAACGAACATTCTCGCACAATCACACGCGTCTGCGCACACGTATACAAGTACTGGTTGCTGGGAACCTGGCGCTCGCGTCGTTACAGGGCGGAGTCCGGCCCGATCGGCGGGCGTGAACGCCTCGGCCAATCAGACGAGAGCGCCAGGTTCCGTGCAACGGTCGGTTCTTTGAGCAAATGTCACAGCCGACGAGGAGCGGCGCGAGAGAAAGCAAGGAAACGGTTTCGATCCTTGAATTTCCGGTGGAGCCAGGTGTCCAGGCTGATATTTTTCGAGAAATTCCCTTTTTCTAT